CCGTGCCCATCTCTAATCTCAACAAAAATGGCACATAGTTGTCGACTCGCGAAAATATTAATTCTCTAATCGAATTCTAACGTTGATCTCTAATGGGATTCGAATGTGAATTTCCAACTGCTGTTTTGCTTTATTAAATAAACGCTTTGTTTGTAAAATGTGTATGAAATATATTTGCAATAAAATAATAATGAATTATTTCAACTTAAAAATAATTTATGATTCATTCATTTTGAATATTGCATATTTACTTTTATTTGAATATGCGTTGTTTCTCTAATCGTCCTCGAATCGAATTCTAATGTAGTTCGCCAAATTCGTCATCGACTCGAGAACGATTAGAAAATTACCATAGTAGAAATTACCATGTAGAAATCCAAATTTCTCTAGCGTTAGAGACTGTGTTTGCTGGGTAGCTGGAGGATTACCTCGGATTAAGTTTTCGATTATTCGCACAAAAGGAAGTGACCCGCCATCTTCCTCCTTTTCTCTTTATTTCGTTTACAGGGTTGCATTACATTATTCACTTAGACTAGTAGGAGCAGGGTTGCATTACCGACTCCGAAAACTAACTAAATTTATTTTATTCAATATTAGATACGTTTTGAGAATTTTAAATAAAATTTAACATTTTCTGAAATAATAAGTGACATCTTTGACACAAATAATTTTAAGACACATAAGGAGCATGTAAATATTTGAAAGTGATTTTCAAGGCGCATTCATATTAGGTTTGTTCCAAACGAATACCCGCGGGTGCTCAAAACAGCCCAGAAAGGGTTCCTCAAGCAAAAAAAAGGGCAATAGAGAGCAAATACCTTCCACTTTTGGATCGTAAATGTCTTCTTCTTCGTGCCCGAAACAGCCCCGTCTTTTTTCCGGGCAGAAATGTTCAAGAAGTTATTTTGAAATAACTGCTGCTGTTTGTTTACATCCGATAGCAAACCTATGGTATTTTGTATTTCGCTTGTGAGTGAGTGAAAACGTGAGCTTGTTTGAATTTTCTGTCGCCCTTTCTCCTTCGGGGAAGAATAGCTGAAATGTGACAATAGCCCGCTAAAAGCAAAAATAAAATACAAGTAGGTTTTGTTTATGTTAAATCGATACCACTTTTTATTTATTGGCCTCAAAACTTAAAAAAACTCTTACTACTAAACAGTAAACATGTGTCTAATCCTTACTAAATTTTTGACTGCTTTATAAAGCTTTAATAAGGATTAGAGACATGGGCTAACTTTTAGTAGTTAGTTCTGCCGTTATATCAGAGGACCATCGATGTGTACATAAATATTTGCTTTTTACAACATAGGCAATATGAAGCAAATTATGCAGAGGAAATTAAAATCAACGAAGCAGCGCAATATAACCAAAAGCCGGCAGGATTCAGACAAGAAATATCCCTTCGAGTAAGCGACAGTTCGGAAGCAGACTCAGATTTCGAAGAGGTTGAGGATAACGTCCTAGCGGCTTCAGAACTCGGGTCTAAAAACAGCTTACAAGTTATTATAGAGCTAAATGACCAATTATTGTCAGAAGATGACTTATTTTCCGATGTTTTTGGATCCTCACCGAAGAGAACTGCTCATATTGATAAGGAAGAACGCCTCTGTGAACTCTCTATATCTTCACCAGAAAATTGTGAAAGCATTGTTGTACACAATATAATGGCGGCAAGCGGGAAGTGTAGTGAAATAAAAAACGATGAAGAAATGCAATATGATAAAACAAATGCTTTGCCTTATGTTTTAAATATGAATGATGATAATAAAAAAATGTCATCTATATTAGATGAGTTAAAAAAGCAAGCAGATAATGTCAAAAATTTAAATTTAGATGACGTAAATATTTGCGAGTCAGATGAAAAATTCAGGTCGAAAAATGAGATTATTGAAATCTATGATAGCGATGATCAGAAACTTAGCTCAGAAGTAACACCAAGTAAATCAACAAAATTTAGAACGCCTTCGAAAGACAAAAGCATTAAAGAATATTTCGAAACCAAATATGTGGTGAAACGAACTCCAGAAAGTGATAAAACTGAACAGGAGGAGAAGCAAGCATCTAACGTTAACTCCCCCTTTTTTGTTAAGAAGTCTCCGTCATCTCATCGAAAACGATCCGTTCGTAAGATTAGCGCATCACCTATTCATGGGCACAAGCTATCAAGGGTGTCCAAAACGCTGTTCGAGAGTGCCACCACAACGTCTGAAAAAAAACTGGAGATAAAGGAAGATGGTCCTGATTTGAAATCTGAGGTAAGTACATATGTAAGTACATTAGACTCGTTCAAAAATTCTACTACTATATGTACATACACTGGCCGAAAAAAATTGAGCCGCACCACATTTTGACAAGTTTTAACGTATTATTTTCTTGTTATTTAATTTTTTTTGATGAAAATATAGTTCAATATGGTTATGGCGCTTTGTACCACGATTATGTTTATTAGGAAAAGTGAAAAAAGCAACAAAGTTAAGCGGTAGAAGTTTCAGCAGCTATTTCGGAGATCACCACATCTCCTCATCAGACCACTTTTTCTAGGCTTCAGCGAATTTAAATAGCGGCAAGCTGCACTTGATAGTAGTAGGTTGAATAAGGAAATAAATTAGCAACAAGAGTTTACGGGGTGTGCATAGCTCAGTGGTTAACGCTTCTGGCTTTGCACATCGATGATGTGGGTTTGATTCCCGCTGAAGTCTAGAAAAAGAAGTCTGATAAGGAGATGTGGAGATCTCCGAAATAGCTGCTATAATTTGTACCGCTTAGACTTTGTTGCTTTTCCATTTTTCCTAATAAACATAAGCGTGGTATAAAGCTCAATAACAATATTAAAAATAAAATATTAATAAGCCACAATAACATTGACAAATACATAGTTTAGGAAGAGCCTGCCTGAAACTAAACAATAAAGCAAATTAATGTATAGAATTGACACCAACAACCACGTTGTCAAGTTTAAATAGTGGCAAATCAGCTGCACTTAATAGTAGTAGGTTGAATAAGGAAATGAATTAGCAACAAGAGTCTACGGAGTGTGCATAGCTCAGTGGTTAACGCTTCTGACTTTGCACATCAATGACGCGGGTTCGATCCCTGCTGAAGTCTAGAAAAAAAAGAAGTCTGATGAGGGGATGCGGTGATCTCCGAAATAGCTGCTATAACTTCTACCGCTTAGACTTTGTTGCTTTTTCCAATTTTCCTAATAAACATAATCGGGGTACAAAGCTCAATAACAATATTAAGAAGTAAGAAAGTCGTAAGTTCGGCCGTAGCCACACATTAAATACCCGGCGCAAGTTTTAAATATATGTTTTTCACCTTTCCGAAAACTACCGCTACATGGTAAGCCGGGTGATTTTATCCCTATTTTAAACATCTTCGATAGCACGTTGTGTTAGACATAATGAGATAAACTTATTCCTAATAATGTTACTTCTTTTCAAGGGATTGTTTTAAGTATCAATTTTGAGTAAATTAGCGTCCTTAAATTTTGAAATATTCAAGCATTACTGAAATTTACTGTTATATGAAAGGAGGATTTTAGTCCAAGTTCAATAATTTTCAACCTTAGAGATACATATATGTGATCATAAGTGGGCGGTGCCACGCCCATTTTCCAAAATTTGATCATAAGTGTTTTTTTTTTGGTAAAGAATTGTGGCAAGCGTTAATTTTGAATAAATTAGCTTTAGTATTTACTGATTTATCGAAGATTTCGTATTTCTCTAAATTACCGCTATATGGGATGTGGGCGTGGTTATTGTCCGATTTTAAACATTTTCAGCCATTTGGTATGTTGTACCAAGGCTAACAACTGTGCCAAGTTTGAGAGAAATTGGTCGGAGCGGTTACCAAGATATGCACATTTAACAATAAGTGGGCGTGGCTAGGCCCATTTTCCAAAAATTTATAATAATCTTATTTTTCTTCTAAAAATTATTGCAAATATCAATTTTGAGTGAATAAGCTTCAGTAATTATTAACATATCGCAGTTTTCGTATTTCAGAAAACTACCGTTATATGGCAGATAGACGTGGTTATCGTCCGGTTTTGGCCATTTCTAATACCATCCGTCCTTCGCCCGAAAGAAGTACACGTACCAAGTTTCGTTAAGATATCTAAATTTTTATTCTAGTTAGTGCATAGACGGACGGGCGGACAGACAGTCACCGCTTAATCGATTTCTCTTTTCATTCTGCTCAGTTATGTATACATTTGTCTATATCTATCTTGATTCGTTTTGCCGGTTACAAAGAACTGTTATGTGAACAAAGTTATAATACCCTTGTGAACAAGTGCGCTCGGGTATAAAAATAAATATGTTAATAAACCACAATAACATTGACGAAAATGTATTTCATTCTTTAACAATTCAAACCATAACCATATACAGTGAAATCCAGTTATAATGGACTCCACGGGACCGCGTCAAATTGTCCATTATAACCGAGTGTCCATTTTATCAGAATATAATATTTGTAAATAATAAAGAAATAATGTACATGTATAAATACAAAATTTTATACTTTTCATGGAAGGTAAATGCCCGTTTTCCGTTCCGACATTTTTCTTAAAGTGCAAATAATTATTTGCAAATAACAATTTGCAAAATGGTAAACTTTGCCGTATAAATGCTGAGTTAATTTTTTATTTGCAAATAACTAAATCACGCAAATAAGTATTGAATAGTTGTACTATTTGCAAATAAGCGCAAGACGCCGCCATTATTAGGTTTATTTTCTTTTTCGATGGTCATCTTATTGCCTTTTTATAATGAAGACGTTGCTATTTTTAACTTTATTTTCTTTTTCGGTGGTCATATTATTGCCTTTTTATAATCAGGCAATATTAAAAAAGAATTTGTCACCATCGAATAAACAGTGAGTTAGGTATTTGCAATTAATTTTATTTGCAAATAGTTTACGTATAAACGTAGTATATGACAGATTTCGGTGAACCAATGAACTTTGTTTAAGTATGTAAACATTTTATGTTGCAGAGACGGTTGCTTCTCTTTACTGAATTCGGGGAATTACCGAACTTTGTTTATTGCAGAGATTTTTTTTATTTGGCCTATTTCTGTCCATTATCGGCGGAGTCCGTTATAACCGAGTCTATTTTAACCGAGTTTTTTTTATATGTTTAAACCGGGACTTGACAAATAGGTACGTAATGCTGACTAAACACGAGGCAACCGTTGAAGCTCGGTAGTGTGTGATATGTTATTAAATAAACATACTTATGAAAATTGTGCTTTCTACAAAAACACCTTTTCAGCTCACTTGCTTTCAATGAAGTAAGCCAATAAAATCAATACACACGAGACAACCGACTAACAAAAAAAAAACAATAATCCGGGTATGCATATAAACTTGTAAATTCCTCGTATCCGCATATACCTCGTAAATAAACCAGCTTTCCATACAAAATTAAATAAAACAACAAAGGATAATTTTTTCTCCTACGTGTTTCGATGCATTTTGGCGTCTTCTTCAGGGAATCTGTTTATTAAAAAACGAAAAACATTATTAGTAACATTTGTTTTTTGTTATTTTATGGCCATATAACAATTATATTCAACGATTTTTAATGAGCTTGAGGCCGTTTTTAATGAAAAACTTATCCCACGAGACGAAAAAAATAAAAGTCCCACATAATTATTATGACAAGAGGTAAATCATTTCCGTCTTGAAATAAACGTCCCGAGAGACGAAAAAAAAATGAAATCCCATATAATTATTATGAGAAGACGTAAATCATTTGCGTCTTGAAATAAACGCCCCGAGAGACGAAAAAATATAAAAGTCCCATATAATTATTATGAGATGACGACAATAATTTACATTTTAAAATAATCGTCCCGCGAGAGGAAAACAACTTTTCCATTGTTCAGTAATAATTATAGAGCAATATTTAATTTTATTTCTTATAATTGTTATTGTCTCTGCACATTACACATTTTCTAGCCGTTCTTTCTCAATGATACAGTTCCGCGAATATTTGTGCAGTAATATATTGTGTAAAAGCTTATAGTTTAGTACAATTTTCACGAAGTTTAGTACAAAATTACAAAAAATTTTATTTCCAACACAAACAGTAAGCAAATGACGATTTCAAAACAGCAAGCGTCTTACAAGGTTGGCCGATTCGATTCATGAAGCTTTTATGATTAGGCGAAAACATGATTATGTATTGTAATGTACAGAGCATCATTCAAATACATGTGTTCGGCTTAAAAGCTTCATACTTTAGTATGACGAAACGATTACACTACTATGCATAGGAGCCTTATGTGCGGAGTGCCTTACGGTGCGATTCGGGAAGCAAAACGATATGTAACCATGCATATTACATCGATTTTCATAACATTTAAAAAAAATGACGCGTTTTTTCATAGCGGCGTTCATTGTTGTTCATATTTTGTCTTTGAGGTTTCTCCTCTATTTACCAAAAATAATCGATAAATCCGGATTGCAAACGGAAAAGTTATTTTTTTAATATAGAGCTATATCATAACTAGGATTTCAGAGGAGAAATTTTGCAGCAGCAAAAAAAACCTAATATAACAATATTGTGAAAATTATTAAGGGCAGCAGTCTCCCGATCGGATATCCGAATCCGGCTCTTATATTTCTTCTCGTCACATCCCTAATACAAACATAGTTAGATTTTAACATATCGACTCCTTTGCCCAAAATTATCGTATGTTACAAAAACCAAATTTTAAAGGAAAATGTTTTTTGTATTTTTCTCTGCTTTGGCTAGCAACATCAATACTAAAAATTAGATTGCTGAGATAATTCATAAATAAAACTAAACTTGTAGAAAGGCTCTCAAATTCTAATTTCTTAGCACATACGTCAATTTCGCCCACAAGAAAAAATTCATTGTCACATACGATAAAATTTACAGTAAATTTTTTGGTAGCTATTGGATTTAAGCCGTCATAATTGAACAGGTGATGCGTTATGGGGTGCATCAAAAAGTAAATCAGCTAAATAATTCTAAATTTTTAGATGATTAGCATAACTGTTTGTTTTTTTGTTATTTTTTGGCCTTAAAACAATTATATTCAACAATTTTTATTGAGCTTGAGGCCGTTTTTTAATGAAAATTTATTGTGGAAAAGCAACAATAATTTGAAAAAATGGTAGAAGTGATAGCTATTTCGGAAATCACCACATTTCCTCATCAGACTTCTTTCGGTAGGATTCGAACCGACGATCCCACTGACTCAGCCAGTTGCCTATGCAC